TTAACCAAGGCCAACCACTTCTGAAAAAGCTTTCAGCTAATGTACCCAAATATGTATAGACAGTGGCCTGGCCTGGAGCAAAGCACTGATCTTCTGACACAGTGCAATTTATTAAATATTCAGGGACACCTACATTTTAAAGGAAGATTGGACAACACTGTGACTCAATAAAAGAATGTCTAATATTATAATATTAAGCACTGAGAAAATAACCCCAGATACTGAGGTGTCATGAAGTAGACAAATTATACATCAAGAAATATATGTCTAGGTAAGGTTTATCTGAGAACAATAGGTCTTTGCCCAAGATTTATCTACATGGCACACAGTAATTAAAAGTACCAGACTGGTGGAACTAACCTTCTTGGATGTTTAACAAACATACTTTGAGGCCTATAATAATTTGGTCAGAGGGACATAAAGGACAGTTTTTGTTCCTTGCCCTCCTAGGTCAACTAGTTCCAGGGGACTATGAGCATCTCTCAAAATGTCCTGTAATTGTGGTGGGTTACCTGTCCTCTTGATCAGGGAGGCTGAGGAGACCTCACTAGATGGACTTGAACCAGTGTCCAGTCTACAAAGAGGAGGGTCAACACAGAGGAATCATTTCCTCCATGCTTCCAAACGAAGCCAACCATGGTCAAGCAGGACCTTTGACTTATCTTCATAGGCAGAACTGGTAAAAGAAAGGAGCCAGGGGCTCCTCCCAAGCCCATGTGACCCCTGAGGAACAGATCCTCAAACGACCTTGAGAGTAAAAATAAATTGGTTTATCTGGGCCAACTGTATGGCCTTAAACACCCAAAAGGAAAGTATAACCAGAGATTAAAGGGGCCAATATAATTTCTTAAGAGTCCATATGCATAGCTAAAGGCTACATAACAAGCAACAATGCCAGATAGGAGATACCTTCTTTTGAGTTGTTGGCCAGGGTGGCCAAAGGGACTCCCAGATAGTAACCCAGCATAGAACTGGGAAAATGAACAGCAGACCCCAATCTTATCTAAAGGAATATTGACAAGTGATTGCTGCTAGATGAGGAACAGCTGACCCTCCTAAAACAAAGACCTCTAGATAGGCTGACTAGATTCACCAGAAGGGCAAGTAGCGGGGAAGGGCTGGGGGTGTCGACAACACAGCGGACAGTAGCAGGGATATCAGAGTATAGGGGCTCTGGTGGGGGGAGGGAGGTATGGGAGGGTGCCATCTGGGAAGTGGGTGTATAGTTGAATAAGATGGTTTGGGATGTTCTGTGTGATATATACACATACACACAGAAAAACAAATCAAATTTAAAAAAATGAATTATATTTGAGGAGGAAGCATAAAAATTTACATCTTGTTAATTAGTAGAGGTGATAAACATTACCATTGAAATCTACCCGATGACTTTATAGACATACACAGGCGCCAAGGATCCAAGTGCAACCGATTATGACTAGTAATAATCAGATACATACAGATTAGAGATGCATACGCCAACATCTCAGTGTTAGTAGCAAAAACAATGAGTCTTTTTGCAAGGAACATTATATTCTAAAGTGAAATGGTGATCTTTTTTAGAGGTTAAAAAAACTCATTCAGCCAGGCGTGGTGGCGCACACCTTTAATCCCAGCACTTGGGAGGCAAAGGCAGGCAGATCTCTGTGAGTTCAAGGCCAGCCTGTCTATATAGTGAGTTCCAGGACAGCTGGGACTACAGGGAGACCCTGCCTCAAAAAGACCAAAAAACAACAACAAAAAAAACTCATTCAACTTTATGTCTTACAGGGCTTATACTGAGTTCAGTATTGTATAACCGGATTAACTCAACTGTGAACCTAGAAACTTGCATGCACTTGTGAAAGATA